CAACCAACAACCTTCAAAACCCGAAAGCTCCTTCCGGATTTTCTAAAAATCCTTAATTTGATAAAAAGCTAAGACCTAATTAAAAAATCGGCGTCGGTCAGACGATGTAGTTTCTTCCCCTCTTTTAAACAAAAAAATAATAAACTCTGTATGACAAACCGCTATAAAAAATCTTGGGAAATACTTCAGGTGTAACTCTCATATAGAGAAAACGCTGTATGGAATACTAAATTTTAGAATTTCTAGGAAAATGCAACGTAACTTTTTGATGCAATGTCATACAGAGTTGTGCGAAGTCTTATTTTGATCAGAAATGTTTGCTCTACAAATCTGTGTTTAGAAAAATTTTAATTGCATAAGTATCCAGGAAAAAGCTATTATTGCAGACCCGGTTTTCCGAGGCTCATAGAAAACTTGCTCAAAATTCGTGAAAAACCGCTTTTGTAACTAAAAGCGATACAGATTCTGAAAGTAGACACTGCAGGCTATCTTCCCATGTGCTTATCTCAAAACCGATATTTTGACCGAAAATCACAATTTCTGAGGGAGGGCTGGCCTTTACCTAGAAAAATATTTAACTTGAAGCTTGAATTGCGTATACTTTAAAAATGCCCAAAAAATTTAAAATACCATCATAACCAATGCGTATCTTATAACTGTGTAGATTTTTTCAATTTTAAATGTGATATTCGTTAATAGCAGGGATCGACTGCATACAGCTCATGTAAAAGTCAGACATGAAGAAAACTTTCGATTCACCTAAGGAATAACGCTTAGATGCTCACCTCTTAGAGAAACGCTCAGGTTCTTTATGTTCAAAGTTAAAATACCGCGAAAAATTGGAAAGTTGTACATAATTCTACAAAAAGAATGACTCAAGCATGAGTAATACATGACTCAGTGAACCAAGTATGACAGAAACAACACTTGTCACCAACGTTTTCATCATTATTGCTTTGTTTATCTCCATTTTGTTCAAGTTAAAGGAAAATCAATAAAAAAAGATAAAATGTTTTACCATCGGTCCAAGTCCAAATAAATAAATAAAAAAATTAGGTGGTATTGCTGCATCTGATTTTCACAGAAAAACCAAATCCTACAGTAGAGGTCGGCATTGCACTATCTTTAGCTTCACCGCGGGCATCGCCTCGTACCTCGCCAAGTTTTGATAAACGTGCTTCGCGGGGATTAGCTTTCTGCTCCGTCGCCGCCTCGTCCACCGTTAACTCTTAATAAAATTTTCCTCTAGCACTTCCTCATCGATCCTCCTGAGTTCCGAAAATCTCTGCTAACAAAAGCGATTCATTGGTTGACCTTGGTTCACAAGAAGAACCGTCACCTTTATTATAAAAATAGATGTAAACATCTTTCGCTCACAAGAAAAAATGTGCTTCGCGGGATTCGTGTCGTGGAGCTGTTGCCTCGTCAAGCTTGTTGGTGCTCTTGACAATGGTGGTTTGGACTATGGGAAGTCCAAGGATACCAATCGATAGAACTCGTCGAGTTCTACTTGAAACCGGGCTGGAACAGTTTGGACATGTTCCTAAACGAATATGGGAAGGTTTTACTCGAATATGGTGCCAACTTCACCTACGTCAATTGTCACATATTGCGAAGAAACGTGCGATTAACTAAACAGTACATTTTAGAATTCTATAGAATTTTTGGTTAAGGGTTATTCAACACAACTCTTCTAAAAAGTTTTCTTTTTTTAAAAAGCGTCTGTTTTGTTGATATACTTCGATAACAGAGAATTCTAGAGAGTTCTGAGGTATTCCATTTAGTTAATTGCACGCTTCTTTGCAAATATGAGACAATTGAGCTGTAGGCGATTAGAACGAAAATAGCACAAAATGTTAAGCAGTCACGTTTTTGGACGAGTTGCGTAAAACTACTTATGTGTAATAAAACGGTGCTTATTCAGAGAATATTGCCATTGTTAACAAAAATGATATAAACGCAGAGGGTAAAGCAGTAATAAATAATCGAGAATATAAGAAATATAACACTACTATGATAATATAACATGCCAACTAACGTTCCATTTTAGTCAGCCTGAAGATGATGTTAGAAAGACATCGAAAGCTCGCTAATGAATAAAAGTATTTTGTTCAAAATGATTTTCATAGAAGTGTTATATTTCTTATATTCTCGAAAAATGATATACAGAGCACACACACACACACCCCAAAAAAAATCTGACTAGCAAAAAAACACTAGTCGCACACAAACTCCAATCATAACAATTATATAAATCCAGTAAATATCACATACTTATTGAGTAACAACAGTCGAAATAAATATATATATCCAAATTCGAGTTATGGAAAAGTCTTCAAAGCTCAAGGAATGCAAAGACATGTTAAAGCATGTGCTAAGGATTGGTGTAAGAGACATGATGCTGGATTAAACTTGTCGTCTATGGTTTTACGATGAGTGAACATAAGAGAATTCGATGAAACTTTTGCTTTCTTTACAATGCATTCAAATTCAAGAGTTTATAAACTCTGAAATAGTGTATTTTTTTCATGTTTTGTGTTATACTTCCCCCTTCTTCGTTTTTTCACTTTTTTGACCTTCATCCTATACCAATTTTTGGTATGGATATGTTCTACTTCTTCAGACCATATGTAAACTGAAACGCAGAAGTGTATATCTTTCTGATGGACTATTATATAATAATTGTGCATTAGTGAAATATGTTGAATTCACACATTCATAGTATTGTTCGCAAATACAGAAGAAATTAATGTTTTTGAATGGTATAGTCCTTTGGTCTCAAATTCAGACTGAGGGAGGATTTGTTTGATCACTTCTCCTGAAACTATTTTCTATTATTTTATCACCGTACTTGGATGTTTGCTAGAGGACACTATAAGCTATATAACGATATGATATTAGTAACAGATCATTGGACTGGATTTATGAAAAGGTTAAAAGAAAATATGTGAGAAAAAGAGTGTGACATAAATTTTTCAAATTTATATATTTTTATAGATAACAACTGATTTATACAGAAAAGTAACATTTTTTATGCCATTCTAATCACCAAGTCTATAAGTGCTGTTAACGATATTTGTATTTAAGGAAAGTTATTCACCAGAATCACCCCCACCACCATTATCAGGATCAATGTCTATTTTTATTATAATAAAGCAATTACAAACAATTAATTAAATCGCTATTGGCAAACGATAGCTACTATGTATAAGTAAATATTCAATCAAGAAAAATATAAGAAACACGTAACAGTGATATAAAAAAATCAAGATAATATAAGTGTCACTTATGCATAAAATGAGTCATTATCTCTATTTGTTAATATCTGTCGCTTTTTGAAATAGTGTTAATTGTAGGGGATCGCGACCTCTATATGGCCATAGCCATAATATATAATAAATATCTTTTATTGTATACAATAAATAAAAAAGATCGAAAAATAGTAAAACTCAAAAAGATCAAGATTTCAGTCTGAATTTCAGACCAAAGAACTATAGTCGATATTTTTATATATATATATATATATATATATGGGTGAAACGTATAGCCATTGTACCGCTCAAGAAAAATTTTTTTTGATAAACTTAAATAAAAAAATTAAATAAAAAGTTTTTTTGATCAGTTTCTTCTATAAGATTGTTTAAGTTTTCCCATCGACAGTCGTAAGTGTGTTATAAGAATCTTATAAGATTATCATAAGAGGTTCTGAAGAAATTCATAAGAAGTACCAAAAATTTTTATGTTATTCTTATTCACTAGAAGGTAGCTTATAAGCTGGTTTTGGTGATTTTTGTTATGATTAAATTGCTTCTATTGGATGGAAAACTTCATAAAAATTTACTTTCTATGAATTTCTTACAAACCTCTTATGGAAATCTTTTAAGATTCTTATAAGATACTTACGACTGTCGATGGAAACCTTAAACAATCTTATATAAGAAACCGATAAGAAACTGATGAATGGATATCATAAGGCCATCATTAGTCCATGAATACAACGTACTGTGAGACTAATTTCTGTCAAGAATTTATTGCAAAACCATTCTGCTTTCAATGTTTATAACTGAATAAATGGTTAATCTTCGTTTTCTTAGTTAATTTGCATAATCAATCGGGGTTAGACAAGATGGCTTTTTTTATCCCGCTATCAACCGATATCGTAACTCTGATATTATTCTATGTAAATTGTATCTAAATTAAGAATCGATAGAAGAGTGAAAGGCACAGCTTTTGATAAAAAGAAGAAAATTTTAAACCACTTTTTTGATGGAGAAAATTACATATTACTTTTAGAAAACATCATTTTCACACTAAACGTTCTGTCACTTTTTCGATTTTATTTTTGCAATAAATCTTGAAGTTGTTGACCGTTTAACTTCAAACGTGTACCCTTTTATTCTGTTGTGATTTTGTTCCTGTGGTGCAAATTTAAACTTGATATCTCTGATCGCTTCTGAGTAAACGGTATTTTACTGTGAAAATGCCCTGTCACCAATTCTTTAGCAAAAGTGTCCCGCCACCTTATAATAGCAATAACTCTATGAAAAACTGAAAGAATCTACACTTATCGTACATCATTCGATTCGTCTCCGGCAGGCCGATTTGATTATGTTGGTGAGAAGCCTTGATAAAAACACTTTTGTATTCATGTAGAGAAAACAAGGTGGACTTCACCAGGTTGACCTCATCCAGATCTGTCGGATGGTATATAACAAACAGTATTTTAGATCCTTTTTAGATTCTAAAATGCTCCAAGATTTATCGGTTTTTTTATCAAAATCGCTTTTTCTGGAAGAAAATGAAAGAGACTATCTGGAAAATAATCGTTTGGCTATACTAACACTATCGAAATTTACCGAGATAATTAGAAAGAGTTCAGATGAAAGATTTAGTTTTCATGACTTTTACCGGCAAACAGCACAATAGCTATACGTTTCACTCATATGTTTTTATGTACAATATTAAGTATTAAAGAAAAAAGCACACAAATGAAGAATGTCTCACATCATTAAAAATACTGTGTTTGAAGATACTGCAACTATAATGAAAAATATGAAAATTAATACTGAATTAACTTGCAAATGTCCCACACCACCCATTGCATTTGATGTTGTTTTGACTTTATTACAACTGTTTTGTGACGAAGCCATTAAGCCAGGAACACTATCACTCACATGGTTGTTTGAGTAGTTAACAGATGAACATACGTTATATTCGGTGTTTGGTGACAGATTCAGAAAATAATAGGTGGTAATCATGTAAGTTTGGTTTGATACTGTTGTATAGTTCGAATAGATCATACCATTAATTGTGGCATTCATCGACACATTATCGTAAGGTAATTGTAAAGGCCAGAAGAGTATCAGATCGATTTGATTTGCGCTTATGTTGCTAAATGATGTGGTCAAATTCAATTGCGGTAAACTAGTGCCATTTACTGTGGTTTGACCCAGTCCGCATTGGTTTGTTTGCGCTGCCACCGCTCCTTGATAATACTGCTGAGCTTGAACACATGCAATCACGTATCTACCTGGTTGGAAGCCCGATACAGCGACATTTTTCACTGTTGTATTGCTGGACGTTATGTTGAATGAAAATGTTTTTACGGTATCTGTTACCAACTGCGTGCCATTGATAAACTCGTACACGGAGAATGTCAATGTTAATAGCTCGTAGAGAATATTATTAGGATAAGACCATGTAATGTTAAGTGCTGTGTCATCGTTGATACCACTTTCAATCTCTTCCAGTGTTATTGTTTTATCCGTTACTCCAGACGTTGGCGAGTTTCCCGTTCCTGAAACTGTACCATTTGCTCCACCAGCATTTTGTGATCTAATACCCGAGATCAAAAGACATATGCTAAGTATCACTTTAATATTCAACATATTTCATAAGTAAGTATAATAACATGTAAATAATCTAAAGATATATTTGTAATATGGTAAACGTAATATTATATGTTATAACAAAAAAAAAATACATTTTTTTATTCGAGCGTAGAATATACTCCATTGTAAGTATATTTCTTTACAAATAACGAAAAGCTATAACAATAGATAAAAGTAATTTTTATTTGTTGTTAGCAACAAAATATAATCATTTTCTCAAGGTATAATTTTGATCTATCAGAAAACTACGTTATAAATTGTGATTTTTTTAATTTTCACTATATTACCGAAACAGTATTACGTGTAGAAAAATAAATGAGTACATCAGACGTTGAAAAAATGGGAAACGGAAAGTTCAGCACGAGGAAATTTCAGCACGGAAATTTCAGCACGGAATTTTCAGCACGGGAAAGATCAGCACTAGGAAAGATCAGCACGAGGAAAGATCAGCGAAAGTATTGATATTTCACAATTTGGGAGCAAAAGTCAAAATTGTGATTCTTGCAAAATG